ATTCACTGTCAAACTCAAGCCCCCTGTGAACTGTTAAGGAAAAGAAGCAGCACACTTTGGAATTAATGACATTTAAAACAGTAAGATTTTCATTTCTGTAAGGGTTTGTATGAAGTTTTGCACATTTTCAAACCCAGCTGTCATTAATTTTATCAACATTTCTTCTTTTGCTTCATGAAAACTTTATAATGCTGATATTATATCTAGTAATATCATCTGCTAATGGATACCAGAACAAAATATTGTTTTGTCCCTAAATTAAGCATCCATTCCCATATTACTAATAGTCACTATCATGATCTATCCTATATAAAAAAGAGGTAATATGCAAATTGACTGTCATACCCTCACAAGATGGCTGCCTACAACCAGGCCTGCAGGGGGGTTAGTGAATGATGACCAAATGACTGAACAAGCAGGCTATGCAGGGTTACCAGACTGACAGGGGGGTTAGTGAGGAATGGGGAAATGATTGAACCAGATCAGCACGGGGGGGGGGGGGGGGGGGGGGGGTTGGTGTCTGATGGGCCAGTAAGGGGGGTGACCAGGATGGTGATGGGGGCAGTTAGGAGCAAGTAGGCTGACAGGGAAGGGCCAGTAAGGGATGACCAGGCCAGCAGGGGAGGCAGTTAGGGGCAACCAGGCAGCAGGCAGTTGAGCAGTTAGGAGCCAGCGGTCCAGGGTTGTGAGAGGGATGCCCTGGATTGGAGAGAGTGCAGGCTGGTCTGAGAGAGGACCTCTCTCCCCGACTTCATGCACAAATTTCATGCACTGGACCTCTAGTTTTAAATAATCCAATAAAATGTACAGAGGTCTGTAAAAATAAAATCTAGGTTGTCTCCTTATAAATACCAATCAGAGGCAATGAAATCAGGACCAACTTTCCTTTCTAAACACTTCGGTTTTGCTGTTTGTGGGAAAGCTTTCTGGTGTGTTCTGAGAAAGGGACTTGCTATGGAGGTGAGAAGAGGTGATGCTCTCTAGTTGTGCTCACACGTGGCAGATGGTAACATGGCTTTGAGGGGGCAGGAATGGCATTTGTGAGGCACATAATTCACAGACCAAATAAACTTGGACAGTTCAATGATTTTTTTTTTTTTTTTTTTTTTTGCCTGAAAGACACAACGTTGCTTTGGACCTCATAGTCCCAAGGGCAGGACGGAAGTTAACTCCGCAGATCTGCGATGTGACGTGCAATTAATGCTCTATGAGGCGTTCGCCAGAAAAAAGTTCCATGGTCATCAGTTAAAACACTGATGATCATTTCAATTACGAGCTCATTTCTGGATCTGAGAATATACTTTATTTTGTAAGTAGGATTACATTCCTTTCCGAGACCTCATCTGAGCTGAGAGTAGAAATCTTTGCCCCTTGACTATTCAACAGGCACATTCTGCTCTTGGAAAACAGGAAAAGGAGGGACCCACTGGACAGGAGAATAGGACTTTACAGGAGTTTGTCTAAAAGAGGACCATTTCTAAGAGGGATGTAGAGACGTGTTAGTGTACAGCTGTCCTGAAAATGCAGCAGCGGCTTTGTTACATTTCATCAAGAAGGGGTCATTGAGGTCACCTTTTAAATGAAGCAATCAAGTTACAAAAAGACTTTCAGATAAACGAAACACAAAGAAACCCAAAAGGCGAGCGACTTCAGCTCCTCCATCTGTTAGACCAGAGTGGCCTCAGCTTGTCTGAACAGCAAGGAGTGGGCAGGTCAGACCTCTGGAGAGGTGTGGAGAGCGAGGTCAAGTCACGGAACTTCACCCCACGTCCAGTAAACCCAAAGCCCTCCACGCAGAAGGATGAAGGGCCCCGTGATGCTGTGTCGGCTCCGTCTCTGAATTGCGTGGCTGTGTTTTACTCTGGTGTGGTCAGAGCCATGAATGAACCTCCCTGAGACACTTCCTAGAGGTAGGCTGAGGGACGTCTCTCCAAGAAAATGGCACAGTGACCTGAAGAGAGGTCCTTTGCACATACTTGTTGGTGGTGATGCACATTGATTTCTAGAAACAGGACATTTTCTGCTCCCATGACTATCCGGGGTCAGGTGCAGTACAATGGCGCTTCTTCTCCCAGGGAGTGAGTGGGTTTGGAGTTCCTGGCTGTGCGAGATCTTGAGCCCCGGGTTCTCCCTGGGTCAGCTGTGGGGCGTGCTCAGTGAGGACAGAGGGTGGAGTGGTGACCAGATTTGCCTCCTTTTGAAAACTACCACACTTGGGCCCAGGTGAGGAGTGGACACGGCGCTTGACAACACGGCTCCAGGTCAATCTCCCCGGCTCTCTAAGTGAGGCGCAGTTGCTGTACAGCTTCATTTTTACCCACCCCCCCCTGTTGATTTATGTTGTCATTAGGGCAGGGGGGAATCACAGACAAGGCCAAAGTGGGGACGTGGCACACATTTTTCAAAGAAAGTTTTCCCCCCACAAGTCAGAGCACAAGACGGTATTAGAGAAAAAAACATTGCGAGGAACTAATCGTGCTCAGGAACGTGATACGGGAGA